CAACTTATCTTTCCGCAAACAATCTTGTAAAATCTGTATTGATCTTCTTTATCAATATATATTTTAAATTTGAAAATTGTGTTTGTATTCATCCCCCCCCTTCTACAAACTGTTTAGTATTCTTGTAGACCCTTTTGGGACCAACAACTTTAACTTCAAAATCATATATAGTATCAACTAGGGGTGTGTAGAAAGTCAACCGATCCAACTAAAACTGACCGTCGATGATTGGATATCCAATTGTGATCAAGATCGGATTGGATCGAAAATTTCAACATCCAATTTGGATCGGTCGGTTGTTGGATGACAGTTCAAAACCGATAAGAACCGACTGAACCGACCGACTTACCATCCAATTTGTACATCCAATAATAACTGGTCGATGCCATCCAGTTATTAAACCGACCGATTGAATCGACCGGTACATCCAGTTATTAACCGAACAAATTTCCCTCTTTTAACTTTCAAGTTTTAAGTTTTAAGTTTTAAGTTAATCCTAGCCGCTCCCGCTCCATTCTTTCTCCCAAATCCCAAATTCCCAATCGATAGTTGCTTTCTACTTCTTCTCGATTTACTTCTTCCATCTTCTTCTCGATCAAACTGCTTTCATCTTCTTCTCGATCGATTGCTTCCATCTGCTTATGGATCGAAAGCAGGTTTGAACTTTCATTTATAATCATAAGTCTTCCTCTTTATTGTACAAATGGATAATTTTTTTTTTATATTAATACATTTTGTTGTATTTAGTTTTATAAACCGTTTGATAAATGCATATTATTGTGTTATGAGACATTTTGGAGATAATATGATATGTTTTCATTAGAAAAATGGTTTCTCTCAACAAAGGCGAGTCTTTAAGTTGATCATGACTTTGGAGCATGTATTTTGCATAAAAGTTGATTAAATATGTTTTATTCATTTTAATGACTTTTATTTTATAGTCTGGAATTATTGAGCATTTGGCTCAGTTTTGACTTAAATGAATTTTGTGGACATTTGTCCGATTTAATTTTATCTATTGGGCTTTTGGAGTTATATGCGATTATGGCATATTTAGTTGGAATTGCATGTTCTAAATGTGTTAGTTATTTAATTGGAATCATGTAATGCAATGGATCCATAAGCATACGAGTGAGTTTGTTGTTTTATAAATGGGATCATAATCCCTGTTTTGAGCTTGGTACCTAAATAAGCATTAGACATGGAGTTGTTCAGCTTGGTATCCATATGAATGGTAGACCTGGAGTGGTTGAGCTTGACTCCTAAATAAGCGATAGACCTAGGGTGGTGGAGCTTGGCGCCTAAATAAGCGATAGACCTATATGAGCTTGGGCCTATATGAGCAATAAGCATCGATTTGTTGAGCTTGTTAACTAATTAAACTATAACCCTGGAGTGGTTGAACTTAATGAATAAACATAGATATGTGGCCTACTTTTGTATTCTGTAACATTTAATGGAATCGGGTCTCTTACATCACCAAATGGTGTTATTTTCGGATATAGTATTATCCTTGTTTTTTAACACTGTTTTCGAATACAAAGCATTCTTCTAATATTCGTGGTTTTGAGTTTTGAACCTTATTTCCCATTTTTGGGGCATTATGAGTATTGTAGTTTTTTTAATCCATGATCAAAATACTTGGATGTTAAACCTTATTTACATTTCTAGAGTGATTGTTGGGTTTTAAATTTATATTGAATGTGTATTCTGATTTAGAGCTTTCATCACGAAAACAATGGATATTGGAAGTTGCTTTTACGATAAATACATTTCATTTGAGAAATCATGTTTTAAATAACTAGTCTTTCAGTTGTACTGTTTTATATTTTTGATGGAAACCGCTTGAACTCACTAGGCGTTAAGTCTAACCCTCTTTCCTTTATCGGCACATGCATCAGGTCCTTGTTGGGATTTGGTTCTAGCATCACTATGATGAGTTGATCACTAGCTAGATACATGAGAATGTTTTAGCTTATCGTTGACGTTTTCCGCATTTGGAGGTAGCGACAATTATTGGGGTAGTAGTAATGCCTGACTTAAATTAGTCTTTATATAAGGTATGGTCTACCTTTTATTGATGTTGATTTTAGATTACATATTCGAGGTAATTTAGGTACTGATTAATAGAAAGGGAATTTACCATTTATTTGTTGTATTAATAAAAAATTTAAATTAATCATTTTTTTTTTCCAGATTTGAGGGTGTTATATAATATTTTTTTTCAGACATCTATGATGAATAAATATTGTAACACAACTCGGTATATGACAGGTTAGCATTTAAGTTGCATACTTATTGTTTTAAAGTCTTCTATTGTAAATTGTTTTACTTTAGTCATAATTTTGGAGGAAATTGTTTTAGATGACGAGATTTCTCATGGTAAAATGAGGGTCTTACAGATTAGCTTATGTGGTAGCAACAGTACAAAGATTGTTGCTCAGATTTAGAATCGACACAAAAGGTGGTTGTTTATTAAAGGTAAATTTTTGAAACACTCATCCTACTTCGTTTCATATGGATTCAAGGAAGAATACGGTTGATTTCCACTGCATGCAGGGTTCCCGTATTACAACAATTAGAAGGCGAGGAATGAGAATGAGAATGAATAATGGTGTTTGGTTTAATATACTAGTATGAGTGATCACTTAAAAGTGGGTAATCATCCATACCCTCATAGACTTGGAGGAATGATTTTTTATTGCACAACATTATCATTCCTCATTATACACATTTGCATTCGCTTCAAACAAACCAAACACCTTCTAAGTGTAGTATCTTATTATTATAACAGTCTGAATCAAATAATCAAGTTGTATTTACAATGATGGACATAACATTCTTACATGGAACATTAGTTTCTTCATGAGATCAACAAGATTACTGTTGGAGAAGGTAGAGGTAGCAAATGAGGTTGTCAAAGAGTTGGACAACTTGGGATAACTATGTTTGACAAAACCATGAAATATGTGATCAAGTTGTGTATGAAAGTAATATGAGAAGGGGCACAATGCCAAAAAAATCCTTTTGAAGGTTGAGGCAGAAGGTGAAAATGAACGCGACTTGTGAAAGACGTAGAGATCGCATGTGAGGTTTATAAAACAAGAAAGATCACAACTTTGAGTACGTTGCGTACTCACGCACAAGGGATTGAAAGCGAGGATGAGTGTTATTTTGAGTATGTCATGTACGCACGCTTGATAAATGAGTAAACCAAGATTTTCTTTATATTCTTACGGTTTGTTAAAAATTGCTAGTTTGGTGACCATGGTTTTTGACTCCATGATTTGTAATTCATTGATGTTTTTGTTCAACCGATAGTGATTTATCATTAAAAACAAGGGATGAAAGTAATAAATGATTTATAAATCAGAAAGAGGAAAAAAGGTAATAAATTGTAAACAAAAGTAACAAATACAAGGTTTAATGAACGAAAATTCAGGGAAGTTGCAATGGATTGAGCTGCCACGTATCCATGAGACGACCCCATGGGAGAGCGAATCCTAAACACCAGAAGTTTCAATCGGTTAGAATTTGTTGAAATGGTATCAGAAATTTGGAAGCAAAGATCCATAGCCATTCGTAATATTCGTGGCCCCATCTAATGCTCACGCAGATTCGTTCGTGTATGCTTTCATATCCATTTATCTGTGGCTCTATGTTATACCCTTCTTCATCTTCTCCACAAGTATTATTTCATTGATTTTCTTTAATAGAAGTTTGATTCGATTCTTAATTTAGCTCTCTATTGTTTTGATTTTGCAGATAAACTGATTTGGTAAGTAGGAAAAATCTACAACACTAGAATATTTTAATGAAATTTGCGATCGAACCGTTATCGACGTTTTGTTAATTAAGTGCTTTTTCAAAGCTCTAATGTTCACATGCAACAACTTCGATTAAATATGGAGTTAATTTGTTTCATTCCTCTTTATTGTAGAAAAGTTCGATTCGATTCTTGCTTCAGCTACGTTTGTTTTGTTGCAGTGCAGATGACTTCGTCTCTTCTGATTAGGTAAGTAATGATTATTTATTTATGTCAATTTTATATTTTCACTACATATTTGCAATTAAATATTTGCCTACATTTTGTGATGAAGTGCTATTTCTGAAATTTGGATGGTTTGTTTGATTCAATATGGGGTTTTGCTCACCAAATCAGTTTCTCTGAAATTTGGATGGTTTCTCAGCAGTATCCTTTTTGTTTCATAAATTAGGGATCGCCCAACCCTAATTTAGTGATCGTGATACTGATAGCTTACAAAGACAAAGGTTTCACATCAACAATCATATGGACATGATCCTTGTCTTTTTATTTCTAAGACAGTGTTGAGTGGATGATAAACTAGGTGGGAAAAACATAGTAATTTCGTGTGATTAGCATTTCAAACTTTCGTGCTTGACCTTTCCTTTCTGAACAACAAACTTCTTGCAAAGGACCCAGAAGATAAACATGCTAGTTCATAGAAATTAGAGAAACAAAACACCTCAAATGATCAGAATTAAGGAACACCCCACTTTGGCTCTCAATGAAATTTTTATTTGGTTTATGCTTACATCTTCACAGGCATGTCGGTTGTTAAAAAGCAAAGTGTGAACCATAATTGTTTAAAATACTAATTGTTGTTTTAAACTTTGTGGTTTTTGCTTTTGAGGATGGTTGACAAAAGTAGTGTCTTTCTCCTGGGATCTTTTCATTATCTTGATTTTCCTAGATTAGATTTGTTCAACTGTCTAAAAAAGGGTTTCCTTCTTCTGGGACTGAAGTTTAGATTCTGGTTGTATGAGTATGGCAGTATGCTTTGGTTGGTTGTTGGGTAACAGAAGATGGAGTTTTTTCGGAGAGAATACAATTCCATTTGTTTAGAAGGTTTTCCTTTGTTCCTCATCTCCTTTTGCACATCTCATCTTCATTTATGCTCACATCATGAAAATAAGATCCGCTTTGGAGATAGAAAACATAGTGAAACGAACGAACTAAAGAATGAATCTCATTCTGTTGTGAGCCATTGCTCATGTTGTCCAGATGTTGAGAATCCTGTACGTATTAAAGAGAAACACTCATGTTGTTATATCTTGAGGCACATTCTTCAAATTAAACCGAGAAATACTTTCCAAATGTCTGTGAAAAAAAAATACTTGATGAAACTCTTTGATTTTATCTAAATGTTGATACAGAGCGTTTGGATTAAATGGTTATTGTATGTAGTACAGTTAATCATGTTCCAGAACCTGAACTTTTGTAGGTAGTAGTATATCATGGTTAAACCATGGTGATGACTCAAAGTCCTGGGGCTATCAACAAGTTCTGCACATTTTCAGATACTAGCACTAGGCTTGAGTCCTTGACTCCCTGCAAGGTTACAAAGGTTTCTGTAAATTCTTGTGTCGTGGCAAAGGGATGTTGCAGTAATGGATTTCAAAGTTCGCCTTTCTCCTGGAAAGGCTTTACTCATCAACCATCACACCAAACAACGTTCAAGAGATTGCTAGTAAGTAACAACGTTGTCTTCTCTCTGTTAGTATAGTATCTAAACCACCCTAAACCAAACCAAACGATCCCAATATATCCTGGTCGAGAGTGGGATCTTGAGAGAGGGGTGGGGGGGTATTGGGTGGGATCGGTATAACAAAATCAGCTTTATAAAACAGCAAATATGTCTAAATGTCCTAATAGACTATTTTATAGGACTAGGACCACATAATTATGTATCCTATATAAAAGTGTTGCAATAAGTTGATAGCATGTTTTTTGACGTCTTAACAAGTTTTTAGGTCACTTTTGAAATGAAGTGTCTATTGGCTTTCTTATATGACGCTTTTGAGGTGTCCTATGAACACATCTTTATATAGGACGGGTGTATTTATAGGACATTTTTCAAATAATGTCATATAAAGAAGACTAATAAGATGCTTGATTTCAAAAGTGTCCTAAAAACTTGTTAAGACGCTCAAAAGCGTCCTATCAACTTATTGTAACACCTTTATATAGGACGCACAAATGTTTTTCCTATATATTAGTCCATCCAGACCTTTAGACATATTTGATGTTTTATTAAGCCGATTTGTTGTTGTGGATGTAAAACAAAACTAACCTCTATGACTCTATCACAAAGGATAGAGCCGCTTTATTCATGAAGACCCAGCTTGTTCAGAAGTATGTTATGTTAGTATAGTATATCTTGCCTTAATAACCTTTGTTTTGACCAAATCTACTTGATATTGGAATTGTCTAGTGCCAGCAGCAAGACTCCATTTCTTCAGATGATGATGAATACCGATCATCGCGCAACATAGCAATCAGCTTGTTTAGGCGATATCGGAACTTCATCGACCGAGGAGGAGGTGACAATCTAAAAGTAAAGCCAATTCATCTTCTCTCGACTGTGATTTCAGTTCATCGATTCTCGTCACTTACTTGCTGGGACTGATATTGATCAGGAATTCATAAGTGCTGGGGTAAATGCATATGCCTTAGGGTGCACTGATGAAGGGTTACGAAAAGAACTTACAAATATGAAAGAATCCGGTATTGAAATTGAAGAAATGCAAACTTTTGGTGGAGGTACCAGTCTAAAATCAAAGATTTGTTACGAGGAGGTAATCTTTTGTTCTATTTTCGTTTCAATGCCAGGAAATTGGCTTTTTCTAAGTGCATCTCCAACTGATTATTTGTAATTGCAGCAAAAGTTAAATTCTTAAAAAAAATTACATTCAACTCCAATGGTTGCTAAATTTTGGGGATCTCAAACATTAATTATATTACTAAAATATTCTACACAATTTATCATACAAATAAACTTTTAAAATATTTGTATACATTGAACTTCATTGGTGGAAACAGTAAAAAACAATCATCTCCAGACATTTACTTTTAGGGAGTTTCCAATTTTGGAGATTTTTATCCCCTCTTTCGTATTTTCTCCATTTTAGAGGATCTATTGGTTTTAAAATTAGCCCAAAATCTCCATTTTGGAGAATCTACTGGACACGCTCTAACGTACCATTGTGTTCTTTATTTTGTGATACAGGTCAATGAGTGTATATTGTGGTTGAGTATTATCTTTATAACCATATTGTGTACTCCGCAACCTACCATAGTTCGGTGGTCTCCAACACCACCTGTTTCAGATGAGATCAAGCTTCAATGGAAAGGGTTTTGTGCTATCATTGCAAACGCTTACTATTTAAGAGGAATGGCATGGTGAGTTCTTAATCTTTTAATGTTAAAATGGCTCTTGGATCAAATTTTCTTTCAAATCAACATTTTTAAGCGGCAAAAAATATAACTGTTTTCTTGTTCTCGCCTAAGGCTTCCGGTGAAAACACTTCAATTGGAGCAAATGGCAGTGGTGGGTCGATCTGAAGAGCCATCAGTTGTTGCTAGCCGTATGAGATTAGTTTTTAGCACACTTGAGGTCAGTGTTTATTCCTTCAAACAGTTTTAACACAAAACCAGACACACTAAAGATCCCATCTCATGACCCTTGGGGTAGTTCAACTAGTCAGGCTTCTCATTGGTCATCTACTCGAGCCTCTTAGGAGGTTTTCCTGGCTGTTAACTTCAAGGCCCTATGGGATGAGTCGAGGTGTGCGCAAACTGGTTAACAGAAAAAAAAGGAAAAAATAAATCTCTGTCATCATTGTTTAAGACTCGTTAACAGAACTTTTGACATTTTGAAGATAACCTTACGAGTTACGAGTGTGTTGGCTTTGTGTAGGTTGTTAGCCCACAATGGCCACGAGTGTAGCATGGCGATTACGGGTAAGAATGTCTTGGCTTACTCTTATGGATTCTTGGGAAGAAAAAAGATGCCACCAAAAATGCATCAATATATGCTCTATTTGTTTGGCAAGTTTAATTTATCTTATGAACAAACTTATTTTCTTGAGATTATTGAAAAAGTCTAACTTGATAAGCCTTGGCTTTTTGAAAAGTTACTTCTAATAATTTTTTTAACAAGCTTCAAAGGTTTTCCTTTTCCAATTGTCCTAATTTTTCAATAGTTCATTTTAGGTCAGTTTACATTGTCATCTAACTTATCAACTAGTGGTTACCAGACGTGATTAGCTTACCAGCTATCAGATTTTTCATTGAGATTTAGCTATGTGTTAGTTGGATTATATAAACTGCAACTTGCAAGCTTTTTTCTGGACAAATGTTCATATTTTGGTAGTTACCAAAGTGAATAATATTATCTGAAAATCACAAATGTATTCATCGTAGTTTGCTGAACCCGAGTTTTGTTGGCTTGCAGCATCTTCTTAAAATATACGTAGGCGTGGCTCGGCTCGGCTCGGCTCAGCTAGTGACATGCCAAGGTCAGGCTTGGGACTGGGGTCACACTCATATAGGTTGGTTTCCCATGGACTTCCTATAAGTTCAAGTGGAACATCCTGCTTTCCTTATTCCTCTTCTTGTCATCATATCTTCATGTAGTATTTATAACTTCTCGAAATCTAACGGATTTAAAACTTTAAAAAATATGATTCAATTACTAAGAGGGGGAGGGGGGGGG